AACCTCCTCGGCATCTGGAGGGGCAGAGGTCCCCCCGACCTCCTTCTCGGCCCTCTTTCTTTTTCTATTTGTTTTCAGAGGGGCGACCTCCTCCTCCCGAGGCTCGGATCTCAGATTTTTAAAATAAGTTTAAATTTTTGGGCTTTAGCTGAATATTAAGAAAAAAAATGAAATTTTTTTTTTTTTTTTAAAGGTGAGCCAACCCGTGGTGGGCCGGGCCGGGTAGCCCGTTTTGACAGCTTTATTTGAGGATGACTTAAATGAATTAATTTGTACAAGTTATACTGACAACATACATATACATTTCGGTAGCTTACTCATCAGAACTTCACAGTTAAGCGTGCTTGACCTGGAGTAGTAAAGAAATGGGTGACCTTCTGGGAAATTTCTCAGAAATTGCATAAGTAAGGATAAAACACGCTAAACAGTGAAATATCGTGAAATAGAACTCTTGAGAGGCTAAATATGAGGATTGTTACATTAATAAATTTATTAAAATTAAAAAAAATTATAATTTTCGACGGGTAAAAAAAGGGTCGTAATATTAATTTAGAGGCAGTTGGTGCGACAGTTGATGAAAGGGTCGCAATTCCAATTTTGCGACAGTTTATGCAACGGTTCTGATAACCGTCGCAAAATTGCCTAGTGACGGACAATTCTGCGACGGTTCCCAAACCGTCGCAATGTTGTCTTTGCGGCAGTTCTAACCGTCGCAATGTAGGCCATATAACCGTCGCAAAATCGTCATTTTCTTGTAGTGTTCATCCATCGGTATGACTCGGCCTTGCCCCCGTACTGGTAGCAAATAGAATACTTAGAGGAGTACTTCAAAATTCACCTAACATCTGAAGTGGTTTATTATATAATCTTTGAAAAAGTTCCATATTGGAATCCTCACCATGGGACTCCCAAATTCCATATTTTTCCAAAGATTATATCCTGATCTCACCAAGAGATCTCCCAATCCATACTATAACCTTACTCCTCTAAGTCCTATTAGCTTTCCAAACCAAACACACATAGCATATTCCATAATTACATACAAAATTTTCCATAACCATGCCAAATTACTCAATATAACAACATAAATAATTAAACACCCAAAACAACTATCAACTTAACCAAATTACCCTTTGTGAAATGACAATCTTCACATAAAATAGCATATTAAGAGTTATACTACTCCTATCATGCTCATAATTATCTCATGAAATATAAGAAGATTTCCTACAACTCTTATGAAGACATCAAGTCCTAATTCCATCATCTACTTTGTTAAAAATTCTAAAAACCGCAATAGCTATAACCAATGCTGGCAGCTTGACCCCTGTTCACTAAAATAGTCATATCTGGAGTTCTAGACCTCCTTTTTGGTTGATTCCAACGCCATTGGAAAGATAACATCCAAGGCTACAACTTTCATGAATACTTAAAGACCAACATAATCACGCCCGGCGCTAAACTCAAACAGAGACTTACAAAGGTCATTGCGCCTGGCGCAATATCAGTAACCAAATTGCACGTGGCGTAACTAACCTCGCGCCCAGCGTGATTTGGCAATGATGGTCTCTGATGAATTCACGCTCGATGCCAAGAACTGCGCCCGACGCATTTACAACCAGAAACCCTCAAAAAAACCTTGAAAATTCCTCCCAATCATGAATCCAATCCAAATTACATGAGTTCGAACCATTATAAAGCATAAACAATATCCAAAAATAACATTTTAAGTAATAAAATCAAGTATTAACCATTAATCCATGGAAATCATGAAGAAATCATGAAGAACCCTAACCAAACCCTCTCCAGCTCAATCCAGCCTCAATCATGCGTAAAACATGGAATCAATGTGATATTTCAACTCCATACATACTAGATTAAGTCTTATAAGTACTACCCTTACCTCAGAAATGCAAGATTTGAACAAAACCCTCAAATTCCCAATTCAAACTTCAATCTCACTTTTCAAGGCTTTAAAGCTTGAATCTCTTGAAACTCTAGTTGTGAAGATTGATCTTGGCTTGATAAGCTTCCCAAATGTGTCCTCAGCTTCCCTCTGGACCAGAGCCCCTCTCTCTTCTTTCTCTCTAGAACTGTCCCTGTCTGACAAATGAGACCCTCCAGTCCTAAGTCCCTATATATAGCCATTTTCCAAAATTTCAAAATTTCACCCTTAGCACCTATTCACCTCAAATATTATATTCCTTGAAGTATTTCAACTCCCTAAACTCTAAAACAACCTCAAATTCACTCAAAAAGACCGGATTTATCTTATGTTCCTATCCTTCAATCTCCTATCCATCCTATTCCTTTCCATGCAATACTCACAACTCACCACCATATGAAATGCAACATGTATCAACACACAAACAAACAAACATCACTTTCAGATACATATGCTTGGAATAATGAGTTGCATGCCATAATACTTCACTTAACCAAGATGAGAAGGAAAGTGATCAGTCTTCTTCTCTCTTAGTACCAATTCAATATAATGGTGTACAATGCATCATTCACAACATTCATGTAAACACATGCCTATATCAACATCTCAAAATATCAACATCTCATCTCATTTGGAAAAATCACTATATGCCTAAACAACTAATCAAAACCACATAAACATACAACATTCACAGAGGTAAGTACATTTCAAATCTACACCTCCATAATCCAATCCAAATCCATATAAACAACATATACATACATGCATACATATATATATATATATATATATATATATATATATATATATATACATATATAGAGAGAGAGAGAGAGTATATCTACCAAATAACTTGGTATTTCCATGGCGTTACAATTAAAATTAGATTTTCTTTTAAAACTAGTTAAATAAGTGTCAAAAGAGTTAAATTCTTCAAGTAAAATTGACACTTATTAGTGAATGAGCCTTAATTTCTTGTTTGAGATCAAATACATTGATTACACAAGTAATGTAAAATCATTGTATTTAATCTTGAATTGTCTAGTCGAACAACTTGGGAAGAATTTTTTATGTTTGATTAATATATATAGAGAGAGAGGTTAAGTATAATTTTAAAATTGATAACATTTCATATTATTACATTTACATTCCGTGTTGTTGATATTCTCGTGGGTAACAATTTGCACTGTACATTAATTGTATAATTATATGTAGTTGTTGTAAGTATAATTTCAATTATGGAAATTATTGATATAATATATCAAAGTATTTATTCTAACATTGATTTATTTCAATATTTAAGGTATCTACTTCACCTTTGCAGTGAGCAAAGGACCAGTATATTTATAGATTCATTGACCATGTCGCCATTTAAAGTGTTGGAAATAAAGCAAGTGAGGTGTAGATATATTTGATAAATATAGATTGTAAAATGGAGGTAAAAAAAATAAAAGTCTAATTAACACCTTACTTGCATCATTAGGTACAAATTTTAAAATTATTTGAAATCAAGAGTTGCTTACTTGTTACTAATACTAATAAAAAATGCAGGAGTCATTGAAAATTGATAGTTATTGTTTCTCGACAGATTCTTGTGATTCTCTGGTATTCATTGCACACACAAAAAAAAAAACATTTTGACCATTAGAAATATAATTGACTCATAAGTTTTTATTCTAATTCATTTCTATCACATATTTTAATGCCAATAAATTCAATCTTTAACACATTTTAATTTTCATTATTTATCATAGAGCTATGGATGCAAATTTAAAGTTATAAGAGATTCCTCTTATATCTAAGAGGAAGCTTACATATTGTGCCAAATGTAGAATAGTTATCAAACTAATATTCAATTACAATTTGAGATACATTCTCTATTTTTTATATTCAATTTGCAGTGTCCAAGCAACCAATTAATCATAAGTGCAAATTATGTGATAAAGCACATGCATTCAATTATCTCCAAAAATATTGTTGACTCATAGGGGCTCCACTCCCATTGTGAGAATATTTTCAAAAATATCTGTATTTTGTATAAAATTACCAAAATACCTAACCTTTCTTACAACTACAACGACATCCATAAAAAAATTGAGTGTTGTTGTAGATTATATCGACACCATTAAAAAGAAGAAAAAAAAAAAGATGTCACTTCATTGTCGCTTACGGCAAAAATATTATTATCACTATAAATTGTAGGATTTCCATGTTAGCATTACGTGGCATGCTGCAACATTTTTTGAGTAAAAAAAATGTATAAAACATGGTTAGAATATTGTTACGTTAGCTAGCATTACCCTATACTGACCATCTCAAAATGTGAAATTGTTTCAAACCAACTCCACTTTGATAATATATTTTGAAAATAACCTTATTATGGTCCAAAGGCCAACTAAAGGAAGAAGGGGGGGGGGGGTGAATGAGGGAGAGAGAGAATAGAAAGAAGAACACAAATTTTTAAAAAATATATTATTAATTTTTCACATTGATCCTTAAATGCTTCATAATAGTTTCAGTTTGGTTCCTAAATTTTTCACTTTAGTCTATGCAATGTGGACAAAATAAGAAAAAGAATTTGTTACTAACATTTTTGTCTCTATTTATGTAGATGCCATGTAATGAACTAGTAGAAACATGGCATGACACTTAACTTGACATCTTATCATCTTATAAACTTGACAATTGTATAAACTTGATCCACAAATTGCATAATTAAGAACTAATTTATAATTTTGATTCTTTCATTGACTAACATGTCGAAGTCTCACTTTTTAGAGACCAAGGTGGTCGTCAATTGTTCTTCTGCCCCATATTTTTCTATTTTACAACTATTAGTATTACTGACATTCTCATGGGCACGCTACTAAGACATCAGACATGCAACAAAAATTTCAAAAGCTTCTCACAAATACTTTCAACTGTAGACGTCTATGACAAATTTTGATATTTTCGGTTGCACGAAGTAGAATTTAACTTCCTAACATTTGTATTTATCGCTTATTGATTTAAACTTGGAAAAAATGTACAATGTTTCTCTGAGAAATCATGCTTATTCTTGCCTTTTGGCCAGAAAACAATGCCTGAAACTACTGGCAATGTACATAGTGTGACTCTAACCTAGCGAATGCAAACTGCAAAGGCCTCTCTAAACCAATTAGAAAATTACCTTTTCTGTATGAAAATCAATCAAATTTCAAATGTTGGAACTTCAGACTCAAAACCATGTGTAGCTTGGTATAATAGCCGAGGCCCTATACCTCTGTAGGGGTCCTTTTCTCTTTTCACCTTTAAATAAGCAATACATCTCTCAACCTCAGATTTCACTAGTAAATAAAGCTCACGAGACTTCTCCCTGTCTCTCAGTTCTTGTTTCCTTCCTGTCAAAACAATATCTCATTAAATTTAAGAAGGCAAAATAATTTTTCACTCCATATTTCATGGACATTCTTATCTGTAAATATGCATTGGACATACATACCTTCCGTTTCCAATGGTTTTCCAAAATAGAAGTAGAACCGGCCAGGAACTTTAGGCAAAATCACAGGCAAATGCACTTGCTGATTTGCCACCTCACCACCGACATCACTCCTAGATTTCCAATATATAAAGGACATCAAAATTTAATATAATATTGTGTTCTTAGAATATGAATTATGGGTTGACTTGTAAAAGTGGGGATTACTTTCTACTTATATACTATATTTTGGTCATATCTTTGTTGATGTAGGATCTTCAACACACTCTCTTCACGTCAAGGATTGAACATCTTAAATCTGAAGTTTGAGATTTGCAAAATTGGATACTGGAGGTGGTTTACTTACAGTCCAATAGCAAGTGACATAATAAGCCTAACAACATTCGATAATTGCTACGGTAAATTTTGATACCATCTTAGAATGATAGATTATGAGTCTAACTCGATCTCACAAAACTGATTTCTAATGTGAGAATTACTCTCCACTTATATACTATATTTTGGTCATATTACTAATCGATGTAAAATTTCTAACACAGTATATGTCTACATATACCGAAGATGGAAAAGAAGGACACTAAAGATGTGTATATAAGACGTTCAAAAATTTGCTATGAAATAATAATAATAATAAATAGATAAAAAGAAGATACCTGAACTGCGTAGCCTCGTTTGTGAGGCTTTCTATTTCAGATCTGAAGTAAGGAATCTTCACCAAGTCATCATAATCAAAAACTACCTAAAAAGACCAATGTGATATGATGTGTTAGGGTAAATTCAGGTCCAAGGCATCCACGATCATGGGAAAAAGAAATTAAAAGATGGAAATATTCATGCATTAAGAGAATAAGAGTGTTCTGATAACCTGTTACATCTGTAGAAAATATGAAAAACTCGGTTTCTAAATATTTAATTATTAGGACCATTGAATAATTAAAATTACAGAAACATATGTTGTCCCGCAAATTGCAAAGCCTTTTCCAGTTACTTAGCCCTCTAACACGCGCAAAAACAAACACATAAACGCATAGTGTGTTTATGTGGGCGTTTGAAAGGATTAAAACGGACGTTGATCTCAAAACAACAATTAGTTGCTTCCAATTCATGCATTGGAAAGTGGGATCCGTTAGCAAATGCAAAAGGGTTTCCCAGACCTACACGTGGGCATTAGGCAGAGAGAGAGAACTTATTTTTGACTTAATATCAATGTTAAATTCCAATCACGTGTTATACTTTATGTAAATAACTTGAATTGACTATGCTAAAAACTACCTCCAAAAAGCCTTTAATAATGTGATAACACTTGCTCCTAATTCTTAAATTGCATTTCACTCACAGTGAACCAAAATTAAATCCTAATTCCTAAATATCATAGAGAAAACTTTGTAAATACGAGAAGTTTAGTAGCATTATGCTTTTTATAAAAATAAAAAAACAATTGATCACGCTTTGCCAAAGGAAAAGGATTGGTTCAGGTAAGACCAGAACTTACTTGACCAAGGTCATCTTCTCCAACTGCACCAAAAGGTACAATTTTGGCTCCAAATCTTGCTGCCATCCTGACAAACTCCGATTGTTCAGGCCAGAATAACTTGTATTCTTCACCCTGAGTATTACAATGGTGCAAATTTTAAACGAGTTTGGTAAATTTCAAAGCATAAATACAGAGAAAGAGACAGACAAATTTAGCCAAAAAAATAACCAAGCCTAAAATTTTTCATACTAAATGCATGTTTCATTTAGATTACTTTTGAAAAATGAAAATAATCACATTTCCCCCCCCACTTGCAGCTTCCTGGAAGAGCTTTTAAAAAAAGCGATTATTTCAAATGAAAAAGTGTTAACCAACAAGTAATAGATGTGGATGAAACAATATGCATTTGCTTTCATTTTTATGCCTCATATTTTTAAAACCTTAAAGATACTCCCCAGAATCATATATGTCTACACTCGGATTTTCCACCTTAGAACTTTGTATTTGCCATACGCCAAAGGTAGCAGACAGTACACAAGAAGATGGTGCACTAACTGCCAACATGGCAAATGGAATGTCAAGCATTTAATTATAAAATCTTACAATTCTATCATGTTAACTCAAATGTACTAAATATCACCTCACGGTCAACCAGTTCTAGTAATTTTATGATGATAATTGGAAAAGTAATAATTAGAAGCACATGGCTTTTGTTTTAGTAGAAAGAATATGGAATTATGGAATATAAGTTTCGCAGGAAATGCATAAATTGTTGCTTAGAAGTAGTAATTGGAGAGACCATATCATACGACAAGCAACAGGTTTGAGTATATTGGGCACATCATAGAAAATGACAGAGAAATAGGGAGAGATGTAAACAGTAGAATTCGAATAAGATGGTTGAAATGGGGAAGTGCTTTAGGTGTTATCTATAAGAGAAAGGTACTGCTCAAGCTCAAAGGAAAACTTACCACACAGCTATTGATATGCCAAAATCTGATTTAGGCAGTAGTAGTTTTATGAAAGGAAGTAAGGTGATGGATTGTCATTCCCCGTGTTTTGAAGGAGTACTCTTTGTTAGGGATAAATCTTGTGTGTATTGGGGGGAAACACTGAAACCCTTTGTTTATACTCAATTTTGGCCTAAAAAACATATTGTTTCTATATTTAATTAAAATTCAATTTGTTCTCTTTTCTTTAGTCTAAACTCTAACAGCTACAAGTATGGAACAAAATGTTGGACGGTGAAATGCTAACAAAAGAATAAACTCTGTAAAAAGACTGGAATATTGCATAAGATGTGTGAACATAGTAGAAAAGATAAGCTTATGAAATTGGAGAGAAAGTTGAGGACCAACTATCATAAATTAATGGTAGAAAGTAGAAACTTATTTTGGGTGATCTGTACACATGCGGAGAGGTCATATAAAATCCCCACTATGCGAGTGTAAATCAAGATGAGTGTAGTATAAAAGCTAGAGGCAATGGAAAACTGAAAGAAGTAATCAGTGTGAAACCATTAAGAATAATCTAAAGGTCAATTATCTATAAACATGGATTGGTTGTTGTTGTACAGGGAAAGTAATGATTTCGTTCTCCAGCATATTTACAACCTATGACATTTGATCCAATTTCCTTTTTCTCTTTTTTCTTTTCTCGAGTGAAAATTAATTTACAGCCCAATTTATTGCATTTATGTCCAAGATGATATACACAAGTTATAGACCTTAGAAGTAGTCAAATGAGTAAATTCATGGTTCAATGTAAAAGAGGAAACTCACTTGTAGTAGAAAAAGTTTACTTATTGGGATTTACCTTCTTATGAAAAGCTTCGCGTATCCCTCCAGGATATAATAAGACATGAGACTTGGAAGAGAAAAGCTTGAAGAGGTTTATTGGTGTTACAGGGACAGCACCCATACTTCTGTATCTGTCAAAATAAGATATATCTGGAAATTTCCCATTTTTAGATCTCATAAAAAACATGGGATGTGCTATTGCTCTAACAAGGATATTTCTTTCCAAAAATATTTGACTGCACAGGTGAATTTTTTCTAATCCCATCAGCATGTGGTACCCAACAAACAATACAGGCCCATCTGAAGGAATTCCAGCAAGGCCTTTTACAATCGTCCCATCCTCCAATGTCGAGAGCGTTACAGGACTTGTAACAAGATTAAGCAAACTGGAAGCATTACAATTGAAAGGTTTCAATGTTATAATAAGTTTGATTAACAACAATCAATTAATTGAAAAATTGGAGATAAATTGCCAGATATATAGTTATTGAGACATCGAATAAGCAAATCTTTATGGTAACCACTAACCAGTAGGCTGAGCTCTCCTTGCAATAGCTACTACCTTTATAAAATATATACTATGAAATCTAATGTTTGTAACTGATGCTTATGTGATCAAATTAATCCTGTTGTTTTTACCTGTATGATTCTATTATTTTTCTGGCTTCATCAGGTGTTGGCGGTAAAAAATCTGATGCATAGTCATGATACTTGCCACGACGGTAGTATGAAGTGCCCTTGATGATCGTTACCAAATCAATGCTGCCTTCCTACCATCAATGGACAGAGGCACGGGCACCATATCAGTGTTTGTTTGAACTTCTAACTGATATTTGATATTTTTTCTTCTATCAGGTGAAAAGGATCATGATGCATGCCTAATAAATAAAAGCAAGCATGCAGAAAAAGTAGAAATGGGGAAATATATACCAGGAATAGGAAATGGCCGCTGTCATCAAATTTACGAAGCTCACATTTAGGCAGTAACTTAAGTAGTCTTTCTCCTTCCTGTTGACTAGGCAGTAACTGATCATTTCCACTAGAAGGGCAAATGACAAAATAAGTTTCACTTCATACACTTGAAAGTATGCTGTGTACACGAGAAATTAGGTGGGATTAATTTACCCTCCACCCTGGGAATTCATTAATCAATTTGAGTTAATGCACTAATTATGTTGGCTATTGGTTCTCAACCATATTAGATATTTGATGTGTAGAATAGTTCTTCTATTCATAAGTATATAAGGCATAGGTGCAGCCTCTGTTTTCTAACGCTGACAGAGAGAACAAACTTGTAATCAATTTCTTAAGAGAAACTTAATCTCAATGGCTGCCCCGTGGATGTGTAGAATGCCCCATCCTCCAACGGATCGACGTCCACCAGCGCCACCCGGAAAAACTCTTGCTTGAAATTTTTATATGACTGGGAGTAAAGGGTGAATAAACCCCCATCCCTACTCCCACTCAGAGACAATAAGCCATAAGGTGGAACACCTAGTTTCAGCTGGTAAAAATGAAGAAAAACGGGAAGAGACACCTCTATCCCTAGAGCTGAACACAGGACTTGAAAAGCCCGCAAAAAACCCCAATTATTTGGGTGCAACTGGCAAGGAGCCGAGTTGATAAAATTTAAAAAATCACACTCAAATTGAGTGAAAGGAAGGCAGACGCCTAAATCCCTAAAGAAACACTGGTAGACATAGAAATGGGGAGGGTCTGTAGACTTCCCCATTTACACACCTTCACCGGCTTGACAAGGTTCAAGCCGGATCATTTGGGAGATGGAAGGGTCACAAATTTTGTGCGACTTCCAAACCGCATTGACCTCAAGGAAAGACCGAAACACACTTTGGATCCCCCCCACTTCGCGCCGGACCCAGTCGTAGCCAGGGATGCCTAGAACGAGGTCCTTAGGTGGATCCTTCTTTTCGGCGGCGACCTTTCCGGTAGCCACCGCCTTGCCGCGCCCCTTACCTC